CCACGGTCCCGATGCGCGCTCTTCTCTGGTTTCTTTTTCCCTTCCTCCCCCGTGAGCCCCGGCTCCTTCAGTGCGAGCGCGTGTGAGTGTGCTTCGGCGTGATGAGAACGGCAGATAACTCCGGCAGGGAGATCGCAGGTTAGGAGCCGATCGCCAGCGCAGATAAGGCCTCGGGAGCAGAGAGCGCCCGGCCCCGCTGGGTCGGCCAGCCGCGCAGGCTGGGGACTGGGACTGCGCCGGCCAGCCCCCAGGAGCCCCCTGGCGCGTCCCAGGACTTGGGCCGGGGAAGGGGCCAGACCTGGGAGGCAGTCCCAGCGACCCTCCCAGCAGCTTGGGGCCCAGGGCGCCTCCTCCCCTGACAGATCTAAGCGCGTTAAGATGCGAACGCTGATTGTCACCAAGCGGCGGCGCCTGCCCGCCCTCTGCCCGCGGCTGTGCGTGCGGCCCTAGCAGCTGCGCGCCCGCTGCCCTGGCCTCACCTGCGGCCCTGCACAGGGTGTGGAGGGGAGGGGGCCGAGCGCTTCGGGCCGCCCCCCCCCCCCGTGCCCCCATCAAAGCCGGGGCGCAGCTGCCCGCGCCTCTGTGCGCCTTTTGTTCTGAGCGGAGATAGATGTGCCGCGTTGATAAGGCGCGCAACCGATGGCGGCCGCGATAGGCGCTTCCATTTATTAACTTCAAACGTGGGAGCGGGGGGAGGGCGAGGCAGGAGCGCGGCCTTGGCCGGCCAGATGGCTGCGACGATAGGCCGGGCCGCTGGCGGGGTGAGCAGGGCAGGGCGCAGCTCAGGACCCCCGGCGCCCCGGGCCGCGGAGCTTTCCTCCCGCCCCGGTCGATGTGAGCTCTGATAAGCGTGGGCCGGTCGGCCCGATGGCGATCGCCAAGAGCGATAAGAGGCCTTATCTAAGGCCACCAGGCCCCGCTGGGTTCGAGGCTACAACAGCGCGGGGGTGTCGCGGCTGGGGCAGAGGGGGCCCGGGAGGCTCTACGGGGTGGGGGGAGCCGGCGTCAGCGCGGTCCATCTGGAGAGCTTTTCCCCAAACAGGCCTAATTGCCAAGAAGTTGGTCCTCCCCCTGCGGCGGTGGTACAGTCCGTCAAAATGAAAGAAAACTGACTTTGCACAGGCCGGAGCTGAGAGAGAGGACACCCCGCCCCTGATTCCTATTAGATGGTGCTGCGGGCCAGAGGGTTCGTCACCTGCAGAAGAGGGTGGTTTCCCCCAATCATGTCGGGTTGTTGGTTCCTGGCAAGTATCAGCTGTGATGTGCAGGAGTTTTCTTAAAGAACAACTCAAGGTGGTTTCCATGGGCCCAGCTGTTTGGGGAGGAGCCCAGTTTGTGCCACTTGCTGCCTTTTCCACAGGGTCCCGAGTCAGGGAAAGGTCTGTCCCCATCTGCCTTGACTGACAAGTATCTATTGAGTGCTTGCTGTGTGCGGCACTGGGCCTCTGGTGGGGCTGAGTAAATGAGCCAGGGGCCTGAGGAGGGGTTCGGGGATGCTTTGCAGAAGGGGAAGGGGAGACCAGCCTGGGGCCCTTCCGGAGACGAGGCTGACCTCAGTTTCCAGCTCTGGAAAGGGAGCGACAGTCCCCTGCTCTCGTGTGGTGTGGAGGGCTGAGGGCTGTGCCTGTGTGGGTGGGGTGAGGCCAGGGGTGGTGGAGTCTAAGACTGGCTTGAGTGCTCCTCTCTGGAAAACTCAGACAGCAGTGAGCCCCCAGGTCAGGCCAGAGACCCTGAGGGGCCCTATTCAGTGGGGGGACTGTGGACCCCGGATACCAAGTGGAGCTGGGCTGACTGGGCCCGGGGCTTCCTGAAGATGCTGGAGTTGCTCTCCGCCCCAGCCCTCTGCCACCCCACCGCAGGGGAGGTGTTTTTCACACATTAGCAGTTTGATTAAACAAATCATTGGGTGACTAATTCACCCCAGCTTCAAAGCCACCTGCTGCTCTCTGCTCCCTTAAGCATTAACACCCACCCGCCCACCCGTGGGGCCGGCAGTGCTGGGAGGGTGCTAGCGAGGTTTCTCGCCTTCACTGCCGATTCCTTCTGGAGAAACGGTGTAACCAGGTCTGCTATCCAAGGGTCAGCAAGTGTAAGTCCTGCCCTCAGCTGGCCTTGCCCCATTGTCCCCAGCCCTGGTCACCACCCTGAGGGGGCAGCAACGCAGTGCACCTGGCAGTGGAGGTCAGGTTGTCCCACGTCCTGAGAGCACACGGCCAGTGACTGGTAGCAGAAGGAGCTGGAGGTGGGGAGGGACTCTGCTGCCCCTGCCCTGCTCCTGGACTCCAGGGATCTAGTGGACCCTGGAGCCCACATGGCCATCCTCTGACACTTGTGAAAGCCTGGCCCCGGCTCCTGGCCGTTGGCTGTCCTGCATTCCTGGGCCTGGGGAGGACAGGCAGCTCACCTTGTCATTTGAGAGTAATGACAGGGCTGGTGTCGGCTGCCACACAGGGCCCTTGCTCCCACAGAAGGTCCTGGCCCACCTCCACCGGGCAGGGAAACAGCACAGAGAAACCAAGTCTCTCACCCAAGAAGACCAGCCAGAGCTGATGCAGGCAGCCTGGCCCCGCCCGGCCACCAGACCTGAATGGCATGCAGCTTCCTCACCACTTCCAGCCACCCGCCTCGGCCTCCACGTCCGTGAGTGGGCTTGCAGGAGCAGCAGAGGACCTTGGGGTCTTTCCAACCCTGTCCTCTCAATTCCCGCTGCCCTCCTTCCTGAGACGTTAGTGCACAGGGCAGCCCCTGGGAGGCCTCACCCAGCCCTAACCAGGGCCTGAGTCCGGGACCCAATCCCTCTGGCCCAGGGCCCCTCCCTGGAGGTCACCAGGACCCAGCATGGCACCAAGCACGCCGGGATTTAAGTGGGTCAGTTGGGGAAGAAAGGAGGAGGAATGCAATGCCATTAATTGTGCCCCTTATCTCCTGTTTCTATGCCAACCAGACGTTCCCGGGGCTTGACGGGCCCGTGAATAATACTCCCGGCTGGCCTATCTGCCATCGACAGCCCTTCTCCTAGAGGCAGCTGTTGCCTCCCGATTGGTATCGCCAACCTGTGGACCTGGGCCTGGGCCTGCCTAGAGGCCATCCTGGAGAACTCGGGCCCTGGGTGGACTGCTGCTTGCCCTCCATAGCCCTGGTCTCCTGGAGGTTTCGAGGCTCCTGTCCCCATTTCACAGAAAGGGAGACTGAGGCTACAGCTTCCTGATGTCTCCAGAGCTCACCGGCTCTCCCCCTCAGGAGGCCTGGCCTTGTCCCCAGGGGCTGGGAGCTGGGACAGCACCTGCAGGAGGAGTCCCCTGCTGCATGACCTTGGCACCACCCGCCCACCCCCCCGCTGGTCGCCCGTCCTTGGCTGTTTCATTAGGAGACAGGTGAAGGTGGGGTAGGAGCTCAGCTCACACACAGGCCTGTGGACAGGGAGCCAGCTCAGCAGGGCCGGGGTCAGGCTCCTCCCTGCTCACGCTGTGCATGGGGTGCCCAGCCCAGTGCCTGCTGACGCCCTGTGCCTGCCTGCCCAGGCAGCCTGGCTCCAACCCTGGCTACCCCCTCGGTCCCGTGAGCTCCCTGAGGGCAGGGATGGCACTGGCCCACCCCACGCTGCAGGCCTGCTGGGACCAGACAGTTGGCACGAAATGGGCAGATGTGGGCCCCTGACTGGCCCTGGGCTCATGGGCAAGGCCTGTCACCTGAGCCTCAGCTCTCCATCTGCAAAAGGGCATCAACAACAGCACCCGTCCTGTGCAGTGCTCCCATCCCCTCCTCCCACTGCTCCTCCTCCTGCTCTCCCTCCTCCCCCTCCTGCTCTCCCTCCTCCTCCTCCTGCTCTCCCTCCTCCCCCTCCTGCTCTCCCTCCTCCCCTCCTCCCCCTGCTCCTCCTCCTGCTCTCCCTCCTCCCCCTCCTGCTCTCCCTCCTCCTCCTCCTGCTCTCCCTCCTCCCCCTCCTCCCACTGCTCCTCCTCCTGCTCTCCCTCCTCCTCCTCCTCCCACTGCTCCTCCTCCTGCTCTCCCTCCTCCCCCTCCTGCTCTCCCTCCTCCTCCTCCTGCTCTCCCTCCTCCCCTCCTCCCACTGCTCCTCCTCCTGCTCTCCCTCCTCCTCCTCCTGCTCTCCCTCCTCCTCCTCCTGCTCTCCCTCCTCCCCCTCCTCCCACTGCTCCTCCTCCTGCTCTCCCTCCTCCTCCTCCTGCTCTCCCTCCTCCCCTCCTCCCACTGCTCCTCCTCCTGCTCTCCCTCCTCCTCCTGCTCTCCCTCCTCCCCCTCCTCCCACTGCTCCTCCTCCTGCTCTCCCTCCTCCTCCTCCTGTTCTCCCTCCTCCTCCTCCTGCTCTCCCTCCTCCTCCTCCTGCTCTCCCTCCTCCCCCTCCTCCCACTGCTCCTCCTCCTGCTCTCCCTCCTCCCCTCCTCCCACTGCTCCTCCTCCTGCTCTCCCTCCTCCTCCTCCTGCTCTCCCTCCTCCCCCTCCTGCTCTCCCTCCTCCCCTCCTCCCACTGCTCCTCCTCCTGCTCTCCCTCCTCCTCCTCCTGCTCTCCCTCCTCCTCCTCCTGCTCTCCCTCCTCCCCTCCTCCCACTGCTCCTCCTCCTGCTCTCCCTCCTCCTCCTCCTGCTCTCCCTCCTCCTCCTCCTGCTCTCCCTCCTCCTCCTGCTCTCCCTCCTCCCCTCCTCCCACTGCTCCTCCTCCTGCTCTCCCTCCTCCCCTCCTCCCACTGCTCCTCCTCCTGCTCTCCCTCCTCCTCCTCCTGCTCTCCCTCCTCCCCTCCTCCCACTGCTCCTCCTCCTGCTCTCCCTCCTCCTCCTCCTGCTCTCCCTCCTCCTCCTCCTGCTCTCCCTCCTCCCCTCCTCCCACTGCTCCTCCTCCTGCTCTCCCTCCTCCTCCTCCTGCTCTCCCTCCTCCTCCTCCTGCTCTCCCTCCTCCTCCTGCTCTCCCTCCTCCCCTCCTCCCACTGCTCCTCCTCCTGCTCTCCCTCCTCCCCTCCTCCCACTGCTCCTCCTCCTGCTCTCCCTCCTCCTCCTCCTGCTCTCCCTCCTCCTCCTCCTGCTCTCCCTCCTCCCCCTCCTCCCACTGCTCCCCCTCCTGCTCTCCCTCCTCCTCCTCCTGCTCTCCCTCCTCCTCCTCCTGCTCTCCCTCCTCCCCTCCTCCCAGTACTCCTCCTGCTGCTCCTCCTCCTCCCTTCCCCCTCCTTGTCCTCTTCTCATCCTCTCCCTTCTCTTGCTCCTCCCTGTGTTCCTGGGCCCAGGTGACAGCCGTGCGGTGCCCTCTCTGTGCCCATGTGCTCTGGCCAAGGCACATGCCCCAGTCCAATCTCCCATTTCTCAAATGAGAACCAAGGGGCCCAGAGCCCCGAGGTCAGTGCTGCCCCAGTGCTAAAGGGCCGCCGAGGCGGAGCAGAGGCACACTGGGCACCAGGCCCCCTGCAGCCCTGGGTGGTCTGGCTCTGAGTGACCCTGGGGCTGGGCACATGGCCCTGACTCACAGACCCCAGTGTCAGGACTGCAGGTGGCTGCTGCCCTTGCTCCCAGACATGGCCCTCCCACCCAGGCTGTCTCCCCTGCTCAAGCAGGGCTGGTATACAGTGGTGCCTGGTGAGCACAGAGAGCAGACCGGGAGGAGACGGGTATACAGTGGTGCCTGGTGAGCTGGTATACAGTGGTGCCTGGTGAGCACAGAGAGCAGACCGGGAGGAGACGGGTATACAGTGGTGCCTGGTGAGCACTAGGAGCAGACCGGGGAGGAGACGGGTATACAGTGGTGCCTGGTGAGCTGGTATACAGTGGTGCCTGGTGAGGACTAGGAGCAGACCGGGGAGGAGACGGGTATACAGTGGTGCCTGGTGAGCTGGTATACAGTGGTGCCTGGTGAGCACTGAGAGCAGACCGGGAGGAGACGGGTATACAGTGGTGCCTGGTGAGCACAGAGAGCAGACCGGGAGGAGATGGGTATACAGTGGTGCCTGGTGAGCTGGTATACAGTGGTGCCTGGTGAGCACAGAGAGCAGACCCGGGAGGAGACGGTGCTGTCCTCTCCAGCCCGTGGCTGAGGAGCGGAAGCTGATGGTGGCGAGGGAGGGGCCTTGCCGCGGCCCCAGCGCGACCCTCCCGCCCGCTCCCCCAGCGCAGCCTTGCCCTACCCAGGCCCGGGTTGCACCCCGAGGGCTCCAGGGTTAGAGGCGACCAGGGCAGGGCCCTCCCGGGACAGGAGCCCAGCCTGGAGTCTGGCCGGGAGCCCAGCGGCCTGCTGTGACCGTGGCCCAGCCCTGCCTGCTGGTGTGCAGCAGGAGGTCCCCCAGAGCACCTCCCACTGGTGTGCGCGGGCACCTGAGGCCCCGGAGCAGCCTTGCCCTTCAGGTGCTGCTGTCTGAGGCAAGACGGCCCCCACCTGTGTCACGGCCTGGCCGCCTGGCCCTGCCCGTGGTCCTTCCCTGCCTGACAGCCTCGTCATCGAGTGGCCAGCTTCACAGGTGAGAAGACCAAGGCCCCACTTGTTCACCTGATGCAGGAGCTGGTCAGGGGCCCCGGGGCTGGGGTGCCTCTGGGTGGAGTCCACTCAGCCCCTGAGAGGTCCCCGGGATCCCTGGAGCTCTCCGCGGCCCCTCCCTCCCCCCTCCTCAGCAGTGTGTTGGGAGACGCCGCCTGGCCAGCGGGAGTGTGGCGCTGACCTTGGGCAGGGCTGGTGGGGTAGAGACGCGGCCCCTGCCTGCCCCCAGGCACTCCCCTGACCTCCCCAGGTGGCCGCAGCCTCTCCGAGCCTCAGCTTCCCCACCTGCAACATGGAGCGGCTATGCAGCCTCTGAGCTGGGTGAGGTCAAAGTTGGCCCTGGAACCCGGGTCCCTTGGCTTCTTGCCCCAGGGCTGGAGTGGGAGCAGGACCCTGGCTGGCATCAGCCCAGGGTGCCAGTGCTGGTGGGCTCACTCGTGTTCGCCATCCCTCCTGGGACTCTTCAGACACCTGCTTAAACTAGGGGTCTCAACCCATTCTGCATCCAAGGAAATGGGTCAGAGAGGGTGGTGGCTGCCTGAGAGTCACACAGCACAGAGTCAGCCGGGGGGTGGGGGTGGTCTCCATGAGCCCTATCCCTGCTCCCAGGCTGGGGACCTGTGTCCCCCAAACCGGGGGCAGGGTGCTGCTCCTGAGAAGCAACCACAGTGGGGGTTCCCTGTGAGCAGCCACTGCTGGGGACAGGCCCATCCTAGGTTTGCAGCTGTCCCACTCTGTGCCTATGGGGAGTTGATCTCAGAGTTTCCATCTCTGCAAAATGGGCCTTTCTCGGGGACCCAGGATGGGCTCTAAGGGTGCCTGGTCCTCGTGCCAGGAGCTCCTGAGTCTCAGGTGCCCCCTATCAGTGGGTCAGCATCGTTCACCTCGCGGTTGGAGAGGACGGCGGAGGCCCCACAGCAGGCATGGCCAGGCAGAGCAGGGGGTGGGGTCTGTGTGGTTCAGTGCAACTCAGTGGAGGGGCACAGGGGCCACCTTTCTCCCCCCGACTGCTGACCACCCCCTCAGCATCTCTGCACCTTCCCAGTCTCCTGGGCTTGCTTCTTGCCGGTTCCTCCTGGCATCTGACCTCCAGCCCTCTGTCCTGGGTGCTGAGACCCATTCCAGCCCCGGTCTCCTTGGTACTTTCACACGAAGTCTGTGCCCAGAGCCAGACACTGGGAGCGGCGGGGAGGGGCCAGGCCAGGTGGCCTCGCTCCCCCCGCGAAGCTCCTCCTCTGGGGACAGGGACAGAGCCTGGGAGGACTCCACCCCAGCAAGGGTGCTCCTGGCCTCCGTGTGACGGGGGAAGCCAGCGCCCCAGGCCCAGCCTCCTCCCACCAGGCCGCGAGCACGTGCAGCCCAGCCCGTGCCCACGCCGTGCCCAGCACTGCACAGACTGACCTCGCGCCCCCTGCAGTCTTGAGGGAGGTCCCGGGAGGAAGTGAGGCCAGGGAGTGTAAAGGTCAGGCTGGCACCTATCTTGGGGACAGGAGACGGGCACTGCAGGGCGGTTCTCCTGGGGAGAGCTGTCCCCGAGCCACGCTGGGCCTGGCGGTGCCCATCTTCACGCTCAGGACACGGAGGTCTTCCCGGGGCTCCCCGCGGTGCCTCCCAGAACGTGACCTTGGCGAGTTCCCTCCTCCCTGGGCAGAGGCCGCAGCAGGAGTCCAGAGCTGCAGCTCCACCAGGCACCCGTGGGCCAGCCCTGCTGGGCAGCACCGGGGCCCTGGCCGGCTGGTGTCCTGGGGTGAGACCCTGGGTTAAGCCCAGGGTGTGGCCACAAGTGGGTCTGGGGCTCCCTCTCCCGTGGTACAGGTGGCCACTCACGGGCCAGGTGGGTAGCCCCCCAACATTTGCGAGGTGCCCCGTGCGCACTCCCAGGGCCCAGGGCTGGGATTCCTGAGCCCGGTGGGGAGCTGCGGGGCCAGGCCCCAGGACACCGTGCCCGTCAGGTCACTGCTGATGGTTCCCGGGGCTGGGCCTGCTAAGCCACTGGGGAACAGGGCCTGCCGTCCAGGGCCAGGGGTGAGTGTCTACTCCCCACTCCATCACGCGTGGGGCCTGCCTCCTCCCAGCCTGTGGGCCGGGCTCCACCCAGCCGCGGGATCCCGAGGGGCTTCCGCCTCAGTTTCCCCTTCTGAGCCGCAGGCCCTCACCCAGCGCCACCCAACACAGGCAGCCTCCCCAGGGAGTGCCCGGCCTCCACTGTGCCGGCTCCATGGCCGTCCCCCTCCCACTGCGGCTGAAGCCTGGTCCCCGCACTGTCTCCCGTCGGGCCTCTGGCGGGCGCAGGTTTCAGCTCCTGTGATAACTCGGAAAGTTGAACTGGCCCCATTACTGCCGCGATGGTTGGCCAGATACGGCCTCGATAATGGAGGAGATAGGCTCCCGTGGCCAGCGCCCCGCCTCCGTCCATTAGCATTCCCCACCAGCGATGGCCTATCTCCTGCATTTCCACTCCTCCCGCAGATAAGAATGGAAATTCTGACTTCATAGCTCACTGATTAAAGTGTCTGGATTTCTTGATAATACACAGATAAATTATGTTTTTGAAAAAGAAGGTGGGGAGAAGGGGGGAGGACGGAGCCCCGGAGGGGAGCCCTTGGCCGACGCTCCTGGCCAGGCGGGCAGCCACCAGTGTCCGGCTGCACAGACGGGCTCTGCACAGAGACTCCCCGGGAGCTGGCCCCTGGCAGGCCAGGCTGGGGTGGCTGGAGCAGGGCTCTGCTCAGGAGAGCGCACCGAGCCTCTGCCCCCCTGGACTTGCCTCTGCCCCAGGCGGCAGGGTCAGCGGGCTGATGCAGCCTCCAGGCCTCCTGCAGCCTGGTGGTGGGCAGATGGGGTTGGAGCCCGGAGGCCCGGGCTGTGTCCTCAGGGCAGTCTTGGTGCCCAGGGCCTCATCTGTCCCGTGGGTACCGTTTGTCAAGGTATATGCGCAGGCGGGGTTTCACCTGCCCGGTCCCTGCCTCGGTCCCTGGACGGTGGCCAGTATACAGGAGGTGCTCACTCCATGCCAAGGCCCCAGCGGAGCCCCAGCTGCGTTGGGGGCGGGATCTGAACTCTGGCTGCTCCGTCTACGTCACCCCCTTCCCATGTGGAAGCCCATGGCTCAGGGCTGTCCCCCACCACTCCAGCCATCAGGCCTGGGCGGCTGGCCCGCTGCCGTCGGTGACAGTCGGGCCCAGATGGGCTCAGGTAGCGCGTGCGTCTGTCTGGATGAAGCCTGTCTCCTTCAGCTGATCCGAGATCCTGCGCTGATGTGTGATACGGCGATTAGGGCCGGCGTGTGGCTAATCCTCCCGCTGAGGGACAGGCGAGGCGCCCGCCACGTGGGAGGAGAAGCAGAGGCCCAGTGGGGACAACCTCTCCCTGGGGTGGTGGCCAGGCTGAGCCCAGCCCTGCTCCACAAGGCCCTCCTGAGGCCACTCGGGATCCCAGTCGGCCTCTGGGTTCATTTTTCAGTGACTCTTGAAAAGTGAGATTCTCTGGGGTCCCAAGGGCAGGAAGCATGGACAAGGTCCCCAACATCTCTCCGTGTCTCTGGGACTCCCCAGTTATGACCCTGATGGTTGCCACTATTAATAGCTCCCTTTATTGAGTCCTGGCTGCATGCAAGGCCTGGGCTTGACCTGTCTTGTGGAATAAGGGCCTCCCTATAGCCCTGGGAAGAGTAACTTTAACCTCGTTTCTCCTCTGATGACTCAAGGCTCAGACAGGCTGAGTAACTGACCCAAGGTCACACAGCATTAGAGGAAACAAGAGGGACTCTGACTTAGAGGCTTGGTCCAGATCTGGGTCTCCATCTGGCTGGGGGTTCTGAGCTGTTTACAGCCTTGGGTCCCTCTCCTAGTGGGCCCACCACCTCCATTTCAAGGAAAAAGGCCCAGGCACAGAGAAGGAAAGTGACCGCTGGGGCCCACAGCCCTGTCCCAGGAACAGTGGAAGCTGTGGCTAAGACTGGTCTGTCTCTACTCTTGCGTATTTCTTGGGGCTCCTCTGATGAGGAAGTTTGTTTCTGTCCTCTGGATTTTGCTCTATATCCACATTCTAAGAAAGTCAGCTGTCTCAGGAAGACGAGGTGTCTCTGGGGTAAGGGATAATTGTGGGGTGCGGCTGCCAGAGCTCAAATCCCACCTCTGGGCAAGTGACTTAACACACCCCTGGCCTGGTCCCCTCGCCTGCGCCACGGCCACACGCACAGTCCCCGCATGCTCAGCTTTGAGAAGCGGACGGAGGAGGTGGAGCTGCCCAGGCCTGCAGGTCCTGGCCAGGTGGTGGGCACCACCTGGGGCGCGCGTGGCTGCAAGGGCCCTGCACCTCCTCTCTATCCTCCTGCCGCCATTCTTCTGCGGTTTCTGGCAAATGACTTCATTTGCCGATGGCCTCGCTGAGCTTTGCAGAGGCCCAGAGCCTTCTCCGGTCCATGGTGACCCCTTGTCCACTGCTTGGAAGCCCCTGGTCACCAGTGTCTCCAGATGGAGGTTACGAGAATCACGCAGGGAGCGCAGAGCCTCCGGGGTGCTGGGGGGGGGAGCCTGGGGCCCAGCCTGCCCCGTCGCTCCTGTTCTCGAGCACCTCACTGTTCTGAGCCTCACTGTCCACGTCTATGAAGCAGGGCTGAGGATGCTAAAGTCTGCCTGCAGGCCCTGGGCCCAGAGTCCCTGCTGGGCTCCGGCCATCTCCTGAGTGCCCCCACCAGCCCACCCGTCTGAGAAGGGGGTTCCCCTTTCCAGACAACCCGACTTGTGCCAGAGAGGCATGCTTACACCCAGTTACCTGCCCTGGCGGTGTGACCTTGGGCAAGCAACTTCACTCCCTGAGCCTCACTGCTCTCATCTAGAAGGTGGGCAGTGCCCGTGGGTGCTCGCCAGCGGGCCAGATAGAGCATGGCACAGCTGCTGCTGCTCCTGGTGGCCTTAAGACCCTGCCCCTCCCGCTGCCTTGGGACCCTCCCTCTCCCAGTCAGCTCTGGGCAGGCCCTGGGTGCCCGTTCTGGCTGGGGCCTAGGAGAAGAGGCCCCCACCCGATTCCCTGGCTCTGGGGGTGGGGTGGGGTTCCACCCCGCCCGGCCCCCAACAAGAAAGAGAGAAAAGGGAACCGATGGAAAGTGCGATAGGCGGCGCGCCGAGTGCTATCGCGTTATCCATCTGCTGCGCGGCTGCCTCCCCTTATCTCGCCACCCAAATGCCAGGAACAAAGCGAGGCGCTCGCACCCGCGCCCACCGCGCCAGGCGACGGCCCGGCCCGAAGGGAGGTGCACGTGGCGCCGCGCCCCTGCTTTGCAAAGGAAGCCCTGAGCCGGGCAGCTGGAGATAGCGAGTGGCCGCAGAAAGCCCTGCCCCGGGGAAGAGCGAGCCTCGGAATAGGGCCCAGTCCCTGCCACCCAGGGAGCATCTCCCCTCCACTCATCCATAGGGCAGCGGAGAGCCGGCACAGGAACATCGCTCCCCACGCAGCCTGACACCTGGGAAGGTCACTCAAAACCCCCCACTTCCAGGACACACCCCAGCGCAGCAGCCTAAGGCTGAGTCCCAGCGGCCTGCTCCAGCCACACGGCGGCAGCCGGGAGCCCCGCCCCCACCGAAGCCCCGCCCCTCAGGCCGGACCCCTTGCCCCCAGGGTCCGTTCTCACCCACCCTCTAGCAGCCAGTAGAAATGGGGCATGCAAATGAGTAGGAGCGAGGCCCAGGGATTGGCTGAGCTGCTGTGGAGTGGGCCTCCATGGAGCGGGTGGGGCCTCCCCTAAAGTGCGGGACACTGTGTCCACCCTAGGCCCTGCTGCTGGTGGGAATGCCCCCAGGCTCAGCTTTTTCAAGGCCTCAGTGCCCGGGCTGGCCTTTTGCCTGGCACAATGTCAGAGTCCAGACCCTCACACCTGAATCAGGGGGACCAGGACACGGAGGACCCAAGATCTGACAGCTGTCAGAGGGGACACTGAGCTCCTAGAATGGGTAGGGACGACCCCAGCCAGCCCCCTTGGCCCACCCTGGCCTCCAGGCTCCCTACAGGCCCTGGGCATGCTGTTCCCTGACCCCAGCCCTCCAACTGTGACTCACGCACAACCTTGCTTGGCCCAAGGTCGGGACGTGGGGATGGGGTGTCCATCCTCCAAGCCTCTGTTAGGCATCTGTAAATGGGAAAGGGATCTATTCTGCCCCCAGGATGGTTTCTGAGCACCTGTCCCCGGTGGCCGTGGTCTCCCCACTCACACCTGGGGTGAGCCAGCAGGTTCTCCTGGGTCCCTTTCTCTGTGGCCACACTGGAGAAACCTGGGTCTTCCCGAGTTCCCATTTCCAGAGACTTGTGAGGAGAGCATGGCTCTGCATCCTAAGTCCACTTTGCCCTCCTTGGTGGCTTCTTTGTACAAGGTGGCCCAGAGTCCTGGCCAGAGACCCCATCAGGGACTCCTGTGACCTCCGGGATCCCGGCCTGGTGGGGAGGAGAATCCCTATCCCCTAATTCCATGAAGGGCTGTGGTGTGGACCACGGAGTCCCCATCGCTGGTGCTGATAGCGTGGAGGCCAGGAGTGGGGGCAGGGCGTCCTCAAAGAGGGGCTGCAGGGGAGGAGATCAGCTTGGAACGTGTGAGTGTGCCCCAATGACCAGCACAGGCCACGGGGCCTCACAGGTCGGTAAAGTGGGTGGTGAGGGGGCAGCTGGGAGGGCCCTGGGCACGGTGGGAGCAGCAGGGCTGGGGCCACCCCTCGTGGGCCAGAGGGCCTGTCACGCCGCAGCTGCCCTGTGCTGGGCAGCCTTCTGCCTCCATCCATCTGACCAGTGGCTGCAGCGACGGCTCCATTGGTCAGGCCTCAGCCTTGTCACCGGGCCCTGACCGCCCATCTGGAGAGGACTGCACTGCGGCCGCCGGATCCGTTCCTCCTCTCTTGCTCCCAGGATGCTTCGAACTCGTGCCCTGCGTGGCCTCGGCCGCCCCTGCCTGGCACGTGGCCGGACTGTCCACAGCCGGTCAGGGCCACACTTACCCAAGTGCGTCAACAGCCCTGGGCTGCAGCTCCCACGCGGCCCCACACGGCCCGCCCCGCCCCCAGCATCCGTAATCCGTCCTCCAGAATGAAACAATCTCGTGTAATCTATCAGCGGCTATCAGGCCCATCAGAGGCCGGGAGTGGCCGGGCCCAGAGATGGCGCCAACCCTCAGCGTTGATAAAGTTTCCGAGTTCAGCCGTGATGAATGTTGAGTGAGCGCAGGCCGCGCCGAGGGGATGCGGACTTGGCAGCCGCAGCAGCTCGGCTGAAACCAAGCTCCCGGGCAGGGGCTGGGCCTTCTCAGGCCGCTTTGCCGCCTTCCTCAGTGCAGCCCCGCCCAGCTCCTGCCCTGGGGACTGAGCGAGGGCCCAGCCTGCTGGCCCTGGCCTGAGAGAGGGGCAGGCTCGGGGCAGAGGGAGGACCCAGGAGAAGCGGCGTTCTGCTGGGAGAATAGGCCCCAGCCCGGCCTCCCCACCCCGGCCTCTCCACCCCGGCCTCCCCACCCCGGCCTCCCCACCCCGGCCTCCCCACCCCATGCCGCT